GAAATAAAGGACGCTGTGTCAAAGACACATGATTCAGGTTAGTATGAACTGTAGTCTTTTGTTATTTTTCCATGTGTTTCATAGTTTGGTTTGTTTTTAATCTAACCTTTTAAATTTCTACGCAGACCCTGTAGCTGAAAAACCATCAGCTAAACCAGCAGGAACGGGCAAGCCAGCAGCACCTGCCGGAAAAGCTTTGCCTGAAGTGGAAGATGCTACACGGACTAAACGGTCTACCAAGGCAAAAGATGCCTCTAAGAAGGGTAAGGGCATAGCTCTGAGTGAACCTGATGAGGGTGAAGACAATCTCCGCTCTCCCATTTGCTGCATCATGGGTCATGTTGATACTGGCAAAACAAAGCTGTTGGATTGCATCAGAGGAACAAACGTACAGGAAGGTGAGGCTGGAGGTATAACTCAGCAGATTGGTGCAACGTATTTCCCAGCAGAAAACATCCGAGAGAGAACTAGGGAACTGAAAGCCGATGCAAAACTTAAGGTGCCAGGTCTATTGGTTATTGATACACCTGGCCACGAGTCCTTCACGAATCTGCGGTCAAGGGGTTCAAGTTTGTGTGACCTTGCAATTTTGGTGGTTGACATAATGCATGGGTTAGAGCCACAAACCATAGAATCTCTGAATCTCTTAAGAATGAGGGACACAGAGTTTATTGTTGCATTGAATAAGGTGAGACTGCTTGTCATTCTGCTAGGATGTGAGTTTTATCCTCTGTTGTTAATCTCGTGTGGAAATGAAAACCTTCAACTTCCAGGTGGATAGGCTATATGGATGGAAAACATGCAAGAATGCTCCTATCGTGAAGGCAATGAAGCAGCAAACTAAAGATGTTACAAATGAATTTAACATGAGGCTCACCGGGGTGAGTTATACGTCTAGTGTTTCCTATGCATGGTTTGAGCCATCAGTTCGTGTACATATTATTGAAATTATGGTGTTTCATTGGTATTTCAGATTATAACCCAGTTCAAGGAGCAAGGACTCAACACTGAGCTTTATTACAAGAATAAAGAAATGGGAGAAACTTTCAGTATTGTTCCTACTAGTGCTATTAGGTATGAATTTCTGTTTATTGTTTATAATTTACAGCTCAACAGACCACTCATCCATCCTAAATAGTTTGTTAACTTCGGTTCTTGATACTTTTCAGTGGGGAAGGGATCCCAGATCTCTTGCTGTTGTTGGTTCAATGGGCTCAGAAAACTATGGTTGAGAAACTTACATATGTTGACGAAGTGCAGGTCTGTCTCATCTCTCTTTTAGGGAACAATTGTTTCTTCACTACTTCAGCATGATAATACTTCATCCTTTCTTGAAATGGTTGAACAGTGTACTGTCCTTGAGGTCAAAGTTATTGAAGGCCATGGTACAACGATTGATGTTGTGTTGGTAAATGGTGAACTTCATGAAGGTGATCAAATCGTCGTTTGTGGGTTACAGGCAAGTGAAACCTTTTGATCTAAACCCAAACAAGAGCATACATAGAAATAGAGATTAGAGAAGTGATATTATTTCTTCTTTTCCTATTCCAGGGACCTATAGTCACATCGATTAGAGCATTACTGACTCCCCATCCAATGAAGGAGTTACGGGTGAAGGTACTTTCAGATACACCACTTTATCTGTCTTGTTCCTTCAGAAACATGGTTCATGCAAATTGCTTCCGTATTCCTTTTCTATACACAACGTGAATTCCTGGTCTGATGTTTCAGGGTACGTATCTGCATCATAAAGAAATAAAGGCTGCACAGGGTATCAAGATTACTGCCCAGGTGATTGGACCTACTCCACGATAATCTTTAGTTGCTAGCCTCTGCAGTTACATTTACGATATTTGGATCATCACATCTTGAATATCGTTTCCGTTTTTTCTTTGTTTTTTAATAGGGCCTTGAACACGCAATTGCTGGCACTGCACTGCATGTAGTTGGACCTGATGATGACATCGATGCAATTAAGGAGTCGGCCATGGAAGATATGGAGTCAGTTTTGAGCAGGATTGACAAAAGTGGTGAAGGAGTTTATGTACAAGCGTCTACACTAGGGTCATTGGAAGCGTTGCTTGAATTCTTGAAGTCCCCAGCTGTAAAGATACCTGTCAGTGGTATAGGTATAGGGCCTGTGCATAAGAAGGATATCATGAAGGCGGGAGTGATGCTCGAGAGGAAAAAAGAATATGCTACAATTTTGGCTTTTGACGTGAAAGTGACTACAGAGGCTCGTGAACTTGCAGACGAAATGGGAGTTAAGATCTTCTGCGCTGATATAATCTATCATTTATTCGATCAATTTAAGGCTTACATTGACAACATCAAAGAGGAGAAAAAGAAGGAATCAGCCGATGAAGCAGTCTTCCCATGTGTCCTTAAGATTTTACCTAACTGTGTGTTCAATAAGAGAGACCCGATAGTCCTTGGAGTTGATGTCGTTGAGGGTGTACTTAAGGTAACGTACCTTTCCTTTCCTAGATTCTCTGTAACTCAACGCACATGTCCTAGGAATCAACACTTTCTTAACATTTGTCTTGTTGGGTTTTAGATCGGAACTCCCATCTGCGTCCCTACCAGAGAATACATCGACATTGGCCGCATTGCCTCTATTGAGAACAACCACAAGCCTGTTGACTTTGCAAAGAAGGGCACCCAGGTGGCGATTAAGGTAATAACAGGATCATTCTCTTCAATAAGCTCGCAAAAAGTTATTTGTTGCTGCGGTTTCAGCTTTTCACATTCACCTTGTAATCGATGCTTTTTTTGGTATACAGATTGTTGCCTCGAATCCTGAAGAACAGAAAATGTTTGGGAGACACTTTGACATGGAAGACGAGCTTGTGAGTCACATTTCGAGGAAATCTATCGACATACTCAAAACTAACTACCGGGTAAGTGGAAAAAATTGGTTTCCCCTTTGTGTGTTTTTATTTTCAAATCATCATTTTGGACAACAATCGTCTTAAGATCAAATCCCAAATCAAATTGCAGGATGAATTAAGCATCGAAGAATGGAAGCTAGTTGTGAAACTGAAGAACCTCTTCAAGATACAGTAGATTCCCCCTGCAACAAGAATCGAATGTGTACTTCTGGAGCTCGAAACACTCACACATGCCTTGTTATGCCGTGTCTGCGTCGATGCAGAACAAACAGATTCATCTTCCTGCTTCTAACTGAAGCATTCACAGAAGATTTTGAGAGGTTAAAAGAGAGACGCAAATGA